TAATTAATAATTATAGTTAATAATTAATAATTAATAAAATAATTGATATTTATTAATTAATAAATTAATATTTTTTGACACTATTAAAAAGGAAAATAAAAATTGTGATTGGCCTTTATAATATTGAAGGTAAAAATAATTACACTAATTTTTGAAGAATGCGGTTATAATTACTAATTAATTTATTAATTAAAACCACATAATATTATTTTAAAAATATTAATTTTATTTGATTTAATTATTAAAAATAATTAATAATTAATAAAATAATTTATATTTACTTTTAGTAAATTAAAATTAATTTATAAATTAATATTTTTATATATTATAATTAATTATTTAAAAAACTATAAATAGTAATTAAATTAAATATAATTTATGTAGCTATGACAAACCATCTGTCTTCCTCCAATCAAAGATGTATTTTTCCCACGTCTTGGTCGAGGTACCAGCGCACTGAGCCATGGTACGGCCGGACACCAACCTTCAAGTTCGTAAGCAAACTCGCAGCTAGACTCAAGCGCCAACACCTCCACACCACACTGAGCATCGACACTTGTGGTCCAGAGGCAATTTGAGGCTTCCTTTTTATTATATCCCATGCTTAGGGTGGTGTTATTGCCACAGCCACTAATGTTAATGCCACAGCTTTTTTTAGTTATTTGACTATTATACCCCTCATTTGAATCCAACTTGCAGCAGTCACCACCTTCTCCGCGTGGGTTAATGGTCAAATAACTAAAAAAAGCTGTGGCATTAACATTAGTGGCTGTGGCAATAACCCCACCCCATGCTTATGGTACCGACGCCCCAACTTGTGCAAACCACCATGAATTTTCAAGCCACACTTCGCATTTGTAAAGAAAGACAAGTGATAAATTTTATTGAAATTGTTTTTCACATAATAGTTTCAAAATACTAATAAATCAACAGATTTCATACAGTCCACTAAATAAAATAAGAGGCATATTGTGCGAGAATTATTTTTCTTAAAAGAATTGTTCTTTGCCACTGGTGGTAATAATTCCAACAATGGAATACAGTTTGAAGAGTAAAGAAAAGGATAATGATAAATAAGGCTTAAATATATGATCAAACTTTAAAATTAATAATATAATATAAATTATATCATTCAAATATTAAGGTATAAAATTTATATTATTAAATAATTAATTTTTTATTTTAAAATATATAATATTATATATATCAATTAATTTAATAATATAATATATATCACATATTCACTCCTGAATTTTCATAATACTTATCATTACTTAAAAAAAAGTGACACCAACTAAGAGAGAGTTGTGAGTAGTTATATATATATATTTGATTATAAATTATATCTAAAAAATAGTTTTTTTTTTAAAAATTTTTTACCTAATTTAAAGTAAAAACTTAAATTTTCAATTTAAAATTTTAAACTCTAAATAATTAAAACACTCTGACATGGCTAAGACCTGAGAGGGTGAGGAACTAGGAAAATGGAATAATTTGAGGCTAGCTAGAAACTCCGGATCTTGTCCTTGAGAAACGTCTTCCTGGTTTGTCTTCAACCGTCCATTATTTCCAGTGTAGTGACTTATATGATTCCAAAAATTGTACGGACTTCTGTATGTCGGCCAAATTGCGGGAACGGAGAATCCTCATTCCGAAAGCCATTGCTTGACCCTTGCTCCCCCTTAAAAGCTTACCATATATAAATTAAAGTAAAATAATAATAATAAATACAATCAAGATTATTCATTTTAAATTATTGGATGGAAGCAACATTAGGGGTTATTTCTTATATAATAATTTTTATATTGTAATTTGATATAATTTAAATAAACTTAAATTAAAATAAGTTAAAAAGTTAGAAGATGTTTTCTTTTTTATCAAGTGTACAAGGTATCTTTGGACAAGTTTGCATATATTTGAAAACTGATTTTTCTTTGATTTCGTAAAAAACAAACCACTTACATAAAAATTGGAGAATTTTGAGAAATTATTTTTTCATTAACATTTCTAAAAGCCTTAATTTTGATCAATAAAATAAAAAATAAACTTCTTTTTTTACTAAATCATGACTCATTAGGTAAAAATTAAAGTATATAAAAGAATGCTAACTCAATTAAAATATATAAAAGTTAGATAGGGAGAAAAGATATTTTAGTTATCTATTTATCATTTCAATTTCTTTATTCATTTTAACCTATTTAAATCCTTCTATTTTCATCCCTTCATATTCCCTTCATTTCTTTTTATTTACATATGCTTTAATAATATATTTGAGTTGAAAGAAATAAAGGAAAAGAGAAAGGAAGAGAAGAATTTCCTTTATCATTTTTTTTTAAATTTATTTACTTATTTAAATGAGGGGATAAAATTCCATACTCTCCAGCACAATTCTTCTTCCTTGTCTCTGGTTTGACTGTTTATGATCTCCTTTTGGTATCTAGTGTGATTTCACCTATAAATATGTGAAGAGTTAATCTAGTTAGTATTAAATGTACACATAGCGTGTCGTGCATATAAACAGTAACGGAAATTAACTACATCATGACAAGAAATTAAAATTCCATTCAATCAAAATCTTAATTGAAAATTCCGTGTGTTTTTGAACTTTAATTACAAATTTAGTACAAGTTTAGGACTATTTCCCTTATTTTGCTATTTAATTATTAGTGTTGTGCTGATTAATGTAATCGAAACTATAAAATACTTTATTTGATCAATAATATTATTTGGCAATATAGGCTATTTTTGATACATGATAAAATGATAAAATACATAATATGAAATAATTTTTTTTTAAATATTCCTCTACTAATTTCAAAAGGGTAATGTTATTGGGATAATTATTTTATTTTATTTTTTGATACAATTTTCATATATCATTAAATGAGAGATATATTCAATATTACGAATCTTACATGAATAAAAAAATTAATTATTTAAATAACAATCAAATTAAACTAAAAAATAATATCAAATAATTATTTCAAAATTATTTTTCATTTTAAAATTTAAATTTAAGATATCCGACGCATAAAGTTAATTTTTTAACTACTACTACAACGAATCCATGTGGAAATTATTTGGCAGAGTGGATGCTGAATCACTAAAATTGAGAACCACAAGTGACCTGCTTACGCCACACGCTCTTGTGGTAGATTCCAACCAAAGTGATATTTATGAAGGACCCACGCCACACCAGAATCCATTACGTATTTTCTAATATAGACAATTTCTTTAGAAAAGCGAATCTAAGTTAAGGTAATTACAAAAAGGCAAGACTTTTCCATATTTCCTCAATTACACATTTTGGAACAAAAATACTTGCGGATATTACGTATTGCCTTTCAAGATGTTTACGAAATTGCAATTGACTATTCCCTGATTATAGCATGACTTTCTTCTTCTTTTTTTTTTTTCTTTGAAAATTACTTGACAAAACGAAGAACTTCTACAATGGAAATTGTCAAACAAGTACACATGCAAAATTTTTTAGATAAGAAATTGATAGGAATTTTGTTATCACTTCGTGAAATTCTAAACCCCATATTAAAGAGGAAGTGTAAGTATATTTTGTTATATAAATAACTAGTTATCATTAACAAGTTGAGCTAAAGTCCAAATTTTGTTTCAAGTTGTTTCACGTGTGCTTTCCTTTTTAATGTATAAAAGGATATTTTTTGATAAAAAAATAATTAAGAGATAAATTTTTTATATAATTTAATTATAAACTTTTTTTACTTTATGATAATTTATAACATTACATTTATCTATTTATTCAATGATATGTAAAATTTATATAAAAAATTATAAAAAAAATTAGCCGCATATTATCACCTTTTTAATATGGAGTTTAAATTTAGTGTGATAAAGTATATAGCACGTATATATCCTCCTAAGAATAGTACAAAGTTGAGAAAAAATTTAGAAAAAACTTGAATCTTGGAGTTGAATTTACAACCTTCCAATTGTGGGTTTTAGCATTAAAGTATTAACCAGTGAAATTGAACTTTAATTGACAATAATATTAAAGGATTTAGTCTATTTAGGAGTAGATTTTAAAATCAAAGGGAGGAAATACCACTATTTTATTGCGCAATGAAATTTCATAATAACAATTGGATAACTTTTTCATTTTCAAGGTGCACAACTCTCATTTCATTATCAACTTCACACACAGTGTGATACTCTCTCTGTCTCATTGTCAATTCTATGTTCATGTCAATCAATCCAAATCTAAACCTTTTACTACTTATCCATCTAAGTTATTAGTGAGGATAATCATATGACATTAAATTTA